TTTTTTTTTTTTCAGCTCTTCTCTGACGCAAGAGATGTCAAAAACTATTTTTCTAATAGTTTGAAGAATCATTATGATACCCATTTTTACATTATCTCTCACGGACCTGAGGGGAATTTTGGAGTAGAAGTTAATGGAGATAAGGATATCAGGTATTGGTATGTTAATGATTTGGAGGATAACTATGACACCATGGGTGTCTGGAGAGAGGCCAAATTTGCGCTTAATCGTCAATTTCTTCGGCGCTTTGAATTGCTTTCAATACGCGATGGTGCCATGCTTCTTCGTAAGGCGGTTTGTGCCGCTGGTTCTGAAAGTGCTGGTGCTGGTGGTCATGTTGCTTGTAAGATCACAATCCTCCCTTTTTTTTTATTTGAGATTTTTCAATGATTATGATTTAAAACTCTTCCTTATGTTTTTTGCAGTTCAGTACGTGGAGGAAAATGATGTTAATGAGTACCTTCCCGACGGAGAAAGTGACCATATTTATTATTTAAATGAAACTGTGTACAACGCAAAAAATGCCGAGGCTTATCAAATGCTTAATGGAGAGATTGTCCCGTATATTCCTGGTCTATAGGTATGTATATTGTAACGCTCCGTTTCTTTCAAGTTAAATCATAGCATTTGCTTCGCTCGAATAAGTTTAAACTTTGTTGAATATCATTTCTTATTTGCTCGTGTTTGATTTAATTGTCCCAAGTGTTTAGTGTGTTTTTGTGAAGTACTTGCCTAAGTGATTAATTGACTATTTATTTTAAGTGATTAATTGACTATTTGCTCAAGTGTAAATAGTCAATTGTATGGGACTATGCGAGTTCAATGTTGAGTGGTTGACTATGTGAGTTCAAGCGGGGCATGGTCAATTAACCTGTGATATGTTTGCTATATTGGCAGCTCTCATTGAATTACAGCTTCACCAATAAGAGGGAGGGTTGTTGTACACTTATTTTGAGCTTCCAGTGGGATTCTCGAGCCCAGTCTAAATTGTTGAAATTGCACAACAATAACTACAACACCTTTTCTTAATTGCTTTTTATTGTCATTGGCAGTCTGGCCTAAAGCCTGATCATGTGGGTTACATTAATGCACATGCTACATCTACTTCTTTGGGTAATTTGAATTTAGTTAAGCTATCATTTATTTAGTACTGCTATACAAATGCAGTGAATGTTGTCCCAAATTTTGTCTCCACTGTCAAAAAACTCATGCAGGGGATGCTATAGAATCCAAGACTATTATTAAGTCTTTATTTGGCAGTCATGCAGTCAAATACAAATTTGTGTTTGTCTTTCAATGATCTAATATTCTCTTCTTTTATTTGGCACCAACTCAGGGTGTGCTATTTGGTACTAAAAGCGTTGGTGTTTAATCTATAGCGGTCATAGTTCTCTGATTTGGTTGGTGGGCATGGCGTGGTTTAGAGCCGGGTTTAATTTGTCTAAGCTTGCTCTTAGACGAACTATGTTACAGAGTATATCTAATGTCAGGCAAGCGCGAGTGACTCCTGCACAGAGTAGATACTTTCACACCACTGTTTTCAGGTCAAATTCCGCATCCGGTTCCACTCTCCAGGCTGACTGACAGTTTTTTAGATGGAACAAGCAGCGTATATCTTGAGGAGCTACAGAGAGCCCGGGAGCAAGATCCCAATAGTGTGGATAAATCGTGGGACAATTTTCTCAGAAATTTTGTTGGCCAGGCAACCACATCTCCCGGTATTTCTGGTCAAGAGAGCATGAGACTTTTGTTGCTTGTGAGAGCTTACCAGGTTTATGGCCACATGAAGGCCACGATAGATTCTCTAGGTCTGGAGAAGAGGTCCATTCCTGATGATCTGGATCCAGCTCTTTATGGATTTTCGGAAGCTGACCTTGATAGGGAGTTCTTGGTCGGTGTTTGGAGAATGGCTGGGTTCCTGTCTGAAAACCGTCCTGTGCAGACCTTGAGGGCAATATTGACGAGACTGGAACAAGCTTACTGTGGAAAATATTGGTTATGAGTACATGCATATTGCTGATCGCGAAACGTGTAACTGGTTGAGAGATAAAATTGAAACTCCTACACCAACTCAGTACAATCGAGAGAGGCGTGAGGTGATCCTCGACCGGCTTATTTGGAGCACCCAATTTGAGAACTTGGCAGCCAAGTTGACTGCAGCCAAAAGGTTTGGGCTGGAAGGTTGCGAGACAATGATTCCTGGAATGAAGGAGATGTTTGACAGGTCAGCAGATCTTGGGATCGAGAGCATTGTCATTGGGATGTCGCACAGAGGTAGGCTGAATGTTCTTGGTAATGTTGTCCGGAAGCCTCTGAGGCAGATTATCAGCGAGTTCGGTGGTGGTACAAAACCTGTCGATGAAGTCGGCCTTTACGCTGGAACTGGTGATGTCAAATATCATCTGCGAACTTCTTACGATAGACCAACGAGGGGAGGTAAGAGAATACACTTGTCCTTGGTTGCAAATCCCAGCCACTTGGAAGCAGTGGACCCCGTTGTTGTTGGAAAAACTAGAGCAAAACTTTATTATTCTAATGACACCGACCGGACAAAAAACATGGGTATTTTGATTCATGGTGATGGTAGTTTTGCCGGTCAAGGTGTTTTCTGCGAGACCTTGCATCTTAGTGCTCTGCCAAATTACACTACTGGTGGGACCATTCACATTGCAGTGAACAATCAAGTGGCTTTCACCACTGACCCACAATCAGGAAGGTCTTCTCAGTATTGTACTGATATTGCCAAAGCTCTGAGTTCCCCTATTTTCCACGTGAATGGTGATGATGTGGAGGCTGTTGTTCATGCCAGTGAACTCGCTGCTGAGTGGCGTCAGACGTTCGATACTGACGTTGTGGTCGATATCGCATGCTATCATCGTTTTTGGGCAGAATGAGATTGACGAGCCATCCTTCACGCTACCAAAAATGTGTAAGGCATGTTCATCAATTCTCCCTGTTCTCTATAATGTTATACTTATCCACTGTTTATCATACTTTACCATATTTTTCTCTCCCCAGTCGATGTTAACTAAATTAAAAATCATTCCGAAACATGCTGGCTAACTGTGAAGACTGGTTTTTGTAGGTTATAAGGAATCATCCTTCAGCACTTGAGATTTACCAGAAGAAACTTCTAGAGTCTGGTCAGGTCTCAAAGGAAGACATTGATCGGATAAATAGCAAAGTCACTAAAATGCTCAATGAGGAGTTTGTGGCTATGTAACTCAAAGAAGGGACTGGCTCTCAGCCTACTGGGCTGGTTTCAAGTCTCCTGAACAGCTTTCACGTATCCGTAATTATCATTTTTATGAGTTCATAATATCCAATTCTTAATGCCTGTTGAATACTACAGCATAAATATTTTGTTTCTCTAGGGTGAAACCAGAAATAACTGAAGAATGTCGGCAAGGCCATCACAAGTCTTCTAGAAAATTTCAAACCTCATAGAGCAGTAAAGAGGATTTTTGAAGACCGTTCAATAAATGATTGAGACTGAGGAAGGTATTGACTGGGCAGTCGGTGAAGCCCTTGCTTTCGCTACATTGCTTGTGGAGGGAAATCATGTCAGGTTATGTGGGCAGGATGTTGAGCGAGGTACTTTCAGCCATAGACATTCTTTTATTCATGATCAGGAAACTGGGGAAAGATACGATCACGTTATGATGAACCAAGACGAAGAGTTGTTTACTGTGAGCAACAGGTGTTTGTCTGATTATCTTTCCTTATTCTATACCTATGATATTTCAGAGGGTTATTGCAGTTCTTTTCTTTGCTTTACTTTGAGAAATTTGTAATGACCATGAATACGTTTTTGTTAATACTTTTGGGTCCTATCCAGTTCTCTGTCAGAGTTTGGAGTATTGGGATTTGAATTAGGTTATTCAATGGAAAACCCCAATTCTGTGGTACTGTGGGAAGCCCAATTTGGCGATTTTTCCAATGGAGCTCAGGTGATGTTTGGCCAATTCCTCAGCAGTGGAGAAGCCAAATGGTTTCGTCAAACTGGCTTAGTTGTCCTTCTGCCTCATTGATACGATGGGCAAGGTCCAGAGCACTCAAGTGCTCGTTTGAAGCGCTTTTTTCAGGTGTTGAACCTCTTTTCTCTATTTAGCTGAAGCTTATTTGGTTGGAGTTTGTACTGTGTAGTATTCTTTTCGCTTGCACACAATGCTGCTATCTTAGTGAACCTTTTGTTCCACCTTTTAGTTTCTTATGAAGCTTGCGTGTAATAATATCTTTCTATGGGTGTTTTTGCTTTGTATTTTCTTTTGCACATTTCTGTTGTGTTGTCCTCGTAATGTGCTATAGAGTAAGATTTAGAGAGTCCAACTAAGTTTATGTAAGTAGAGGTAATTTTCTTGAACATGATATCGGACTTGAGACAATCTTTTCCTGCCTTAAGGTGCAGTCTTCTATTCACTCTTAGGACCTCAAATTTTATTAAGCTTTTCTGGTGAGATAATATTAAGTAGATTCATAGTGCTCTCTCTCTCTCTCTCTCTCTCTCTCTCTCATATTTTTTATTTCCTTTTCCTTTCTTGACCTTGGGACAGGATGAAGGTGTAAGGGGCATGGATTGGATTCTTCATGTTGTGTTCTTTTCCCCTCTTTCTGAGGGTATTTCTACTTCGAACTCGTTAAATATATCAGCTGAATATGTTACTTTTTTTTTATCGTTCAGCTGAATATGTTACTTAATTCTACTGATGATTGTATGAAAATTGGTATCCCTGTTGTTGTTACATTTGTCGGCTTCTTACAAACCGACACGACTGCCTCTTTGACATTTGCTTTTGTTCTATTTTCAGCTCACCACTGTAAATTTTACCGTTGATAATGTATTGCAGATGAGTGATGATAATCCCTATGTTATCCCTGAGATGGACCCAACCTTCCGGAAACAGATTCAGGAATGCAACTGGCAGGTGGTTAATGTGACTACACCAGCAAATTATTTCCATGTTTTACGGCGCCAGGTAAGCACATCTAAATCTGTAAAGCTTAGTGTTGCTGCAGAAGTCTATTGTCTCATATGACTTATGTCACAGATACATATGGAATTCCGTAAACCTCTGATTGTGATGTCGCCAAAGAATTTACTCCGCCATAAGGATTGCCAATCTAATTTGTCCGAGTTCGATGATGGTGCAGGCCACCCATGTTTCAACAAACAAGGAACCAGGTTTAAACGCCTGATGAAGGACCAAAATTACCACTCAGATCTTGAAGAGGGTATCAGACGTCTGATTCTTTGCTCTGGTAAGGTATTATTGATATATAATATTTATTTGAACGAGTGTTTTTTTAATACCTGACTTAGTTACATTGTTATTGCAGTAAAAGATTTTATTTGCCCATATTTTTGGTGTTTCATGTGTTATTTATTATGAGCTTGATGAAGAGCGGAAAAAGATTGGCGGAAAGGACATTGCAATTTGCAGGGTGGAACAGCTTTGTCTCTTCCCCTATGACCTCGACCAACGTGAACTGAAGAGATATCCGAGTACGTATTAAAAATGAAGCACAAATTTTACTCTGATGTAAATCTCATATAATCTTTGATGTGAGTTGATTCTTTCAGATGGGGAGATTGTGTGTGTGGTGCCAGGAAGAGCCAATGAACATGGGTGCATACAGCTACATCGTGCCTCGTCTTGGAACTGCCAGGCACTGTGGATGAAATCAAGTACGTGGGCCGCGGCCCATCTGCAGCCACCGCTACTGGATTTTACCAAGTCCACATCAAAGAGCAAAATGAGATCGTCCAGAAAGCCATGCAAACTATAAACTTGATGAAAGCACAAGATCAGATCATTGACTGAGTTTTATAGTTGCATAGTTGAATGGTACTTCATGTTATCATTCATTCGTGACTCTTACTCCCTTTCCATTTTGTGAAATCCATATCGTTAAGATGGTTAATTTTACGTTGGGAGAGATCTTTTCTTTTTGTTAAATAAATCAAGGCTATTGACAATAGCTGAATGCAACTGTACTCTTTTTGTTTACTTAATGGTAGATGTTTAGTAGATAGAGTTAATCTATAGCAATTATTATATTTTATGTTGAATAAATTATGTGTGTGTTATAAAATTAACTAGTGCGGTACCCGTGCGATGCACGAGCTAGTATTATTAATGGAAGCATTTAGATTTGGATGTTAAGATGATTGGTGAGAACATAAAACAAATGTATTGGAATAAAATAAATTTTTACTATATATTATTAAATATCTCTTTGTGCACAACATTATTTATTTTATTTTTTGTTATCGGTATTTGACGTATAAAAAAAGATGTGCACAAATAATTTTGTTTGATTTTTTTTTTTTTACATAACGGTAGAGATATTAAAAAACTCAAAGCGAACCAAGTTTGAATGATACAAGCCAAACTCGAAAGATAAACTGAGAGAACACGCATATAGCGGCCTAGAACCTCAACAAGAAAAACCAGAAAGCCTAGAAATGAAAAAAAAAAAAAAAAACTCCTACAAACACCTATACAAAACTACTAGCAAGAAGACAAAAGGAACAAACACAGAAAGCTACAAAGAACAAAGTCGAGTACATTAGGACTTAAGCTGGATGAAATCAAGCCAATCCTGGTGAGCTGCCTTCAAAGTGACATGAATGGGTATGAGAATATTTTGAAAAATGCTAACGTTGCGCGTCTTTCAGAGCCACCAGAGGATGTAGGTAGTAAGTTGTATTCTGGCCTCTGATGTCTTTGAAGCACCAATAGAGCAAATTTCCATCCACCAACTATTGAATGAGGAATCATGGGTTGGTTGCAAGATCCAAGAGACTGGGGTTATTCTCCACAATCTAGCAGCTCTTGAGCAGTGAAATAAGACATGAGTAACTGTCTGGTCCTTCCCCACAAGTACTGCAGACAACATCTAAGTTCAAACCTTTTTTCTTCAAATTTGTTTTGACAGAAAAAGCCTCAGCAATGCATTTCCAAATGAAGATTTTACTTTGTTGACAATGTGCAACTTCCAAAGACTCTGCTTGATCTTGTGTATAGACTGGCCAACCATAATACTACTGCTAGGGATATCAAGGGAAAGGAGTTTCTGTTGAGATAAGAAAGAGTAGGTGTTGGAAACTGTGAACTCACCATTCTTGTTGAATATCCAGTACAACCTGTCTTGTTTCCCCGGTTTAAGAGTTTTAATGCCAAGGATTGCCCTGCTGTCATGTTCATGAAACACTTGGTTGAGAAGCCAAGGGTTCCAGTCATGTCCCGATTCAGAGATAAGCTCCTTAACCCATATTAAATGTCCTTTTTACCGAAAATTCGTTTATTTTCAAATATATATACATAACGATTATAATAAGTATTAACTAAAGCTAATCTTATTTTATTCTATGTAGAATCTATTTTTGTATCCACAAAAATCTAAAATATAACGTGTCATTTAATTTTATCTTAAATAGACTAAATCATGAGCGATGTATTATGAATATGCTTTGAATCTCGGATTGGCTATTCAACTGTAGCATACAGGAGTAACAGATGGTCACCTCTTCACTTGGATTCGTGAGGGTCAATATGGCAGGGTAGCTGAGAGACTCGACCACTTTGTAGCCAGTATGGTTGGTTGGAGGCTTTTCAACGGGGCCAGGTGCGTCTCCTTCCGCGACTACAATCTGATCACTCGCCCCTTATGTTGGGTTTTGGTCGTCAGTCCTTTGAGTCGAAAGGCGTAAAACCCTTTCGTTTCTTGGCTGCATGGCTCCTTCACCCGGGCTTCTCTGAGATGCTTCAGAATTCATGGCACCCCTCCTCCAGCTTTTTTGAGGCGGCTGCGAGGTTCGCAGATGTGGCCCAGAATTGGAATTACATGGTGTTCGATAACATTTTCCTCCAGAAGAAAAGATTATTGGCGCATATAGGCGGGATCCAACAGTGCCGAAGTTTCTATTTTACGGAAAAGTTGGTGAGGCTTGAGCACCAGCTGAGGGCCGAACTAGACGTCGTTATTATGCAGGAGGAACTTTTACTGCTCCAGAAAGCCCCGAGGGATTGGAAACAGTGGGGAGATAGGAACTCCTCCTTTTTTTCAGAGGCAACTCAAAGTCCATCGTTGTCAACGAAGTATCACGGAGCTAGTTGATGCTGAGGGTAACCGTGTGACTGATCACTCGGCTCTCTGTCGGTTAGCCACAGATTTTTTTTCCCGCATTTATACTCTAGAACCAAATCCTGAGATGGCGGGGCATGTGGATAGTCTGTTTCCTACATGTGAGGGGTCCGTGTTGCAAGCTATGGAGGAGGACATTTTCGACGAGGTGATGCTTGCGGCACTTCACAGTATAGGTCCTCTAAAAGCACCGGGGGTGGATAGATTAAAGGCGCTTTTCTTTCGGATAAATTGGGACATCGTGGGTCCCTCGGTTCGTGATTTCATCCAGACCATGTGGCGGGACGGTACGGTACCAAGAGAAGTGAATTATACTTTACTAGTGCTAATTCCTAAGATGGAGAATGCGACATCGTTGTGGCAGTTTTGCCTATCAGTCTACTCAATGTCATTTATAAACTCTACCAAAATCTTAGTGAATAGAATGAAAGGGTCGCTTCCTCACCTGATCCACCCTGCTCAAGCGAGCTTCGTCCCGAGAAAGCAGATCGTGGATAACATTGTGGTGGCGCAAGAACTAGTTCATACTATGCGCTGCAAACGAGGCAGGACAGGGTATATGGTCATTAAAGTGGACCTCGAAAAAGCTTATGACTATCTTCGGTGGGACTTCATTGAAGAGACTCTGCGACTAGCCCGGTACCCTGACAAATTGATTATGGCTATCATGGCGAGTGTCCGGTCGGCTTCGATGAGTCTGATGTGGAATGGGACGATAGGTGAAGAATTTCAGCCCACTCGAGGGGTCTGGCAGGGCTACCCCATTTCGACTTACCTCTTTGTGCTATGCATGGAGAAATTAGCTCAATCTATCTGCCAAACTGTGGAAGGGCTTCACTGGAACTATTGCTGTTGGTCGAGGTTCGGTCTCGGTCGCGTTTTTAATGTTCGTTAATGGCCTCCTTCAATTCTTGGAGGCTTCAGATGCTCAGGCAGCGATCCTTTAGCAAGTCCTTAATCATTTTTGCACAGTATCGGGCCTCAAGGTTAGTTCGAAAGAAACGCTTGTTTACTTTTCCAACAATGTGGAGGTCCATGAACAATGCCATCTGGTGGAGGTGCTGAGCTTCAAGTTGACAAATACTCTGGGTAAATACCTAGGCGTGCCTATCTTTCATGGTCGTGTCACCAAGAATACGTATGCACATGTGTTGGAAAAGGCAGAATAACGTTTAGCTGGGTGGAGTATGAAGACACTATCATTGGCGGGGAGGGTGACTCTTACCCAATCCGTCCTTGGTACGTTACCTTATTACTCCATGCAGTCGGCCTTACTACCGTGTGCCACAGTCGACGGACTTGAACGTAGAAGTCGTGCCTTGTGTGGGGTGACCACGCGTCGCAACGCAGCAAATCAAAATTTATATTTTCCTCGACAAACATCTACTAACTAGTAGTAGTGGCAAGTAAGGGTCGATCCCACAAGGAGTGTGAACCAAATTGTGATATTCTTGTATTAATTGAAATTATAAAAAGCGATAAATGGGGAGATTGGGTTTTAATAGTTAAACTAACTAAAAATCCTAAAAATATAAAGAAAGGAAATAAAAATAAATATAAAATAAATAAGAGAAATTTCTAGTTCACGGTTCCGTCTACACCCTCGACTGACTCGTCTAATCAATTATGACATCAAATCTCGCTATCTTATGAAATTACTAGCCCTAGGCAACGACACGGTCTGCTACCCATTTTTTTCTTATTTATAATTTAACCGCGAGACGCTCTATGATTAAACCTGACTTCTTGTATAGTCTAGAAGACGCTTCTTAGATTTAATACAATCAGCCGCTTTACGAATTAGAAAAATAGGCTAGACTAAGTAGTGACACGTTCGTTCACTTAAATAGGTCGTGTTATCTCTGGTAGTTACCATCTTCCGGATACCACTTACGAATTAAGCACATCAACAATTACGGATTGAAGGCCTAATTCAGGTGTAGGTATGTAAAGCCTAATTTAGGTGATCAATCTAAATAAGACTCAACACATCATGGTTAATTATTCAAAATAACACAAACAATTCCAAAAAGATATTTAAATTC